AGAGCTGTCTAAGGTCAACAATACAACAAGATTTGTTTTGATCCTGTTTTTATCTTTCTCTCATTTTGCTCTATTACAATTATGAATCAGTTATCATATAACTTACTTCAAAGAACTACTTCAATACTTAATTTTCCTACCATTTCCCTTCCCACATAGATTTCCCTCATGTATTACAACCTTAATGTATGCACACAACATACAAATTACAATTTTGTACCTTAAACCATAAGTAATCTGAAGGCAGTTGAGTTTTTCTAACCTTAAATGACATCAAAAGAGAATTTTACACTAAGCACATGGTATAATATGTTGTAATGAAACAAACTAACTTAAGAAAAGGGTTAAAATGATGTACAATCAATAGATTCACACTTAAAGCAGGATTACAAAGATTTTACATCATCCACCTCATGCAATAAATGAATTAATTACAAGATTTTTATTAAACCACCTCCATTTTTACTTAGTGTGACAGTAAGGTATTTACCTCAACTACTTATAATCAGCTTAAGAAATGTAAAATTACTAAATGGAGTCTGTTCATGTGTCTTTTCATAATTCCTTACATTGAAATCAACTAACATAAAGGCCACCCAATTCCACCTGACTATGATACAGATTTAAAGGTGGGGGGGGGGTTTTACACTATCTTTATGATATACAATGTTGCAATGAGACAAACTAAATCAAGTAAAAGCCTTAAAACAACCAATAATCAGCAAATTAACCTTTAAAGATTAGAAAGTATAGAAATTTGTACAATGTGTTAATACATATCAAATCAATCATTATTAATAAATATTTTAATTAAATTACTCAAACTCTTGTTTGTTTATGATGAGATGAATAAGATATTTAGTTAAACTCCTTACAATTAACCAAATTATAATCATTACAAATAATACATTGATAAATGTGGGAAATTTTTTTTCTGCATTTGTTCTCCATTTTTGCAAAAGAAAATTTTAAGTTTTAAAATGAGAGACTTACCAGTTATAATCAAATGAAGTAAGGCATCTTCTAAGATTTTTTATTACCAACGCTTCCATTTGTCACATGAAATGGTTGACTATTTAAACTTAAAATAATATAATTATTACTAATTAATATAAAAAACTAATTATATAACAATAAACTACACACAATAACAAAACTTTTGATATATAATTTATGACTAAACTGTTAAAAAAAACTATTAAAATTAATTTAAATAAGTTTACAGATATAAACGCGATTTTAACCGTTGCACAACTGCGCACTCTATCGTAAAATATGCGAAAATCGTCCGCCATTTTTTTTTTATACCAATAAACGTAAATGAAGGAGTTGGAATAACAAAAAAAAATTGAAAATCTGGAGAAAATTCCATTGTCAACATTTTTATTTATTTTTCTCGTTTGTTTTTGTCTTTTTTTTTATACAAACAAACAAACAAACAATTTCGTTTTAAGATTTCTTTTTTTTTTTTTAAACTACGATGTGACATTTTTTTGTTTTTACTTTTTTTTTTTTTCACATCATTAACTCTTGAAGTTTTCTTTTTTTGCCTCATCATCATCATCATCATCATTCAAAGTTTAATCATCATTTTCGAAAGTGTTTTCTCTCTCTCTCTCTCTCTCTCTCTCTCTCTTATATTCCAGGAAAGATTTTCCCTCTTTTCAACAATTTTTCTTATTGTTTTTTTTTTAAATCGCGAATGTCTTAAACGCGTGAAAAAAAGTTTAAAAAATGAAAAAAAAGAAAAAAACGTAAATAAATTTTTTCATACGACAGCAATAAAAACGGGGGCGAACTTGTGCGGGGGGGAGGAAAGTGGGGATGACAAGGGGAAGTGGAAAACTTGCGGATTTCAACATTTTTTTTTTTTTTTTAAATTAACAACAGGATTTGAATAAGAGTGATTTGCTTTTTATTCGTTTTTTAATTAGAGCGGATTTTTTTTTCATCCCTTGAAATACTGTCACGCTCCCCCTTACACCCGCCGTACACCCCCACCACATAACCTCCCCGAAGGGGGAAAAAAAAGGAAAAAAAATTTAACGAACGAATGAGATTTTCGATTAGGTTTCCTATTCAAAGAACGAACGTTTCAAGTAAAGAAAAATTTTTTTTTTTCCCACCCCTCTCCCCGATTTTCGAGTAAGAAGGACGATGCTGGAAAACAAAAAAAAACTTCTGGAAAAAAAACTCCTGGAGAACTAATAAAAAAAATTGTACGAGACCGATCGAGCTGCTGCACGTTATCCTTAATTACTTAAATTTTAAGCCCTTGAACTTTTTTTTCCTTTTTTTTGTTCCGGTCACGAAGAATGTTCTAGAAAAAAAAGAAAGAAAAAAAATTAACCAGAAATTACACCAAGAAATAATAATAATAATAATAATAATAATAATAATAATAATAAAAGAATAACCTCGAATGATTTTCCAGTCGAAATAATTTTATTATTCAATTTAAACTAAAAAAAAAAAAATTTCTTCTGCTCGCCATGACAGTAGCAGAAGAAAAAAAAAATTGATGAATTGATTATTTCTTATCCGATTCCTGTTGTCAGCATTTTCATTTTGGATTTTCACCTACAAAAAAATTTATTCAAAAAAAAAGGAAAAAAGAAAATTTCGTAACGTGATCTCTTCAATTTACCATCTCTCTTTCCCTAAAACACAAAAAAAACCGACAGTAAAAAAAAAAAAAAAACGACAGCAACAGAAAAGAAAAGAAGAAAAATTTATTTCATTATTATTATTATTATTATTATTATTAATCAGTTAATTAAATTTCAATTAAATTCAAATTAAAATTAAAATTAAAAAAACAGAAAAGATTTTCATTTAAGACAATGAAAATAAATTTTTCTTCTTTTCTTTTATTATTTTCTTTTTTTTTTTTTTTGATTGGTTGAACGATCGAACGTATCGACCAATGAGAATCGAGGAAATTTATTTATTTTTAAATCGCGCGCCAAAATTACTTTCGTGTTCGAACCGTTTCTCATTTATTTATTTATTTATTTTTTTCATTACGTCAAACCGGATATTTTTTTTGATTGGTTGAGGGATCGAACGAATCGACCAATGAGAATCGAGGAAATTTATTTATTTTTAAATCGCGCGCCAAAATTATTTTTTTCGAATTGTTTCGTATTTATTTATTCATCACATAAAACTGGAATTTTTTTTTCGTTGATTTCTGGAATTGTTTTTTATCCTTGAATCAATTTAACGATCCCTCTGGAATCGCGTTATATTTTTTAATTAGTGTAATTAATCATTCGTTTCCGGTTATTGATAACGTTGTGGTGTTTCGAATATTCTTTCCAGAAAATTCTCTCCTTATTCCTGGAAAATAAATAAAATAAAAAAAAAATTTTATTGCCGTCGTCGTCGTCGTCATGTGCATCTGTCTTTTTTTTCCTACGTAAAATTCTCCATTTTTTTTTTTTTTTTTTTTATATCCTTAATTCCATTCCCCCGTAATGATGATAATAATAATGATAATAATAATAATAATAATGACGAGGACAACAATATATATATCATTTAAAGTATTAAAAAAATAAATTTTAATTTTATTCTCACATTATTTTTCAAAACGTCACATTTTTCCAAAATCACGCGCCATATTGGAAAATGAAAAGGTAAAAAAAAAATTTTTTTTTTTTAAAGAATGATTGATTGATTGACTGACTGACTGACAAATGACTGATAAGAATAAAAATTTAATTTTTATATATTTATTTGCAAATGAGAAATGAAATTTTTTTTTTTAAATTTTCCCTTTTGAAAATATTTTTTTTTTCCTTTTCAAATTTTCAATAATAATAATAATGATGATGATGATGATGATGATGATGATTGTTGTGATGACGATGACGATGATGATAATAATAATAATAATATAAATATTTAAATATGACGTGAAAGAAATAAAAATTTTTTTCCTTAGAGTTTTTAAAATAAAATTTCGTGTGTGCGTTTGTGTGTCGTTCCAGAAAATTCGTAATTTTTCCTTTTTTCTCTTTTTTTTTTGGATATCCTGGAAAAGGAATAAAAAAGTTACCTGGAGAATAAAAAAAAAAGGTTAAAAAAAAGAAATAATTGAAAAACATTTGAATAAATTTTTTTTTTTTTTTAAATTTTAAATCAAAAAAAAAAAAAAAACTGGATAATATTAATAATAATAATGATAATTTTTTTATTATAAGGATCCTGGAGAAAAATTAATTAATTAATTAATTCGGGATATTGTTCCTTTCTCCTTAAGTATAATAAAATAATAATGATGATAAAACGATTTGGTTGATTTTTTTTATTTTTTGTAAATTCATCTCGAGATGAATCTTTTAAAATTTTATTCTCTCTCTTTTTATAAAATTTATTTTAACAACGACAAGTACATGTTCGATGTGTTAAATTTCTTATTCCACCCCCCCTCCCCTCCCTCCCTTTTTCCATCCCCCTCCCCTTTTTCCGCGGATTCTTGTACGTTTTTTTTCCTACTTACATTCGACATAATCCCTCCCCCCTTTTTTTTTATTTTTGCATGAAAAAGCAATTTTTCTTTTTTTTAAAATAAAAAAAATTAAATTTCTCACCGTGAAATAATATATATATATATATATATATATATATATATATATATATATACATTACGAGTTTCCACCATTTTGAAAACAGGAGCGAATTAAGAAAATAACGAGTTGAATAAAAAAAAATCTGAAGAAAAAAAAAAAATTTTTTCCCCATTTAAACGTCGAATTAAAATTTAATCGTATTATTATTATTATTATTATTATTATTATCGTTGTAAAATGACGTGAAATTTTTTTTTATTTTGTTCCAGACACAACCGACAAGAAAAATCGGGAAGAAGAGGAGGAGGAAGAAGGGGAAGAGGATGATTCGATAAAATTTTCTTTAAAAAATTAAATTCCAGTGCCTTTATTATTATTATTAAATTGAAATTTTTTTTTGTTTGATGACGTTTAAACGATAAAATGACGACGACAAACGTAAACGGTGATAACAACAACAAACAGGTTGTTGTTAATCCACTTCCTACCGTACAATTTGCATTTTGTTCATCGAACAATGCCGGTGGAAATCGTAGAAATTCCGCACCGATAATAATAAAAACTCCAACGGATTTTTCACCAAAAGAAAAACATTATAATTTCTTATCATTAAATTCATCGAATTTACTAGAATCCCCATCTTCCGATGATAATGATAACGATGATAAGAAAAAAAAATATTCACCAATATTATCGATACGTTCGAATCCATCGTGTCAACAACAGCAACCACAACCACAACAACCACAGACGTCATCGTCACCAAGGAAAAGTCCAAAAAGTCCAAAATGTTCAAATTATTTTAAATTTCCAAATCCTAAAAAAATAACTGATAAGATCGACGAATATGCCGTATATGAAAATTATACCTGTTATCATCAACCTGTATCACCGACAAATGTTAATTACGTACCTACGTCACCATCGAGAAAATCAAAAACGTCCACGAGGCAAAGTAGTTGTAATTCATCGGGTCCGAGAGGAAGTTTATCATCGACTACGTCCATAGCAAAATCCGAAATTTCATCCGTTACAGAATCTTCGTCTATTGACACGACTACTACGACAAATTCTTCATCGTCCGTGTCACGTTGTAGAAAATCAACAAGCGATTTAACGGATTTAACGGAAGAAGAATGTCTTACGGAAAGTATAAGTTTATCGAGACCGTCATCACCACGTGGTAAAACCGGAAGTATAAAAGGTTTGGGAGAAAAATTTTAATAATATACTTCGTAATTAATTTAATAATGTTTTAACGTTCGTGGAATTAGACACTCTTTTTCTCTTTTTCTTTCTATTAATTAAATTATGTTTAAAAAAATTAATTATTAACGTTCTTTTCCGTCTCCATCTCTCTCTCTCTCTTTCTTGTAATTAAATTATTTCCGGTTTGTTTTTTTTTCTGGAAAAGAGTAAAAGAAAAAATTTTCTCCAGTAATAATTTCTCTAGTCGATTTTTTTTTCTTATATCACCTTTTTTGGAAAAATAAAATAAACGTCAGTGAAACGTCATCGTTTTCTCCCCCTTCTTCCCCTTCTTCTTCTTCTTCTCCAGTTTCTTTAAATTTATAACGAACTCTTCAATAAATAATTTTATCTTCTCTCTCACTCACTCACTCACCTCGATCCTTACACTTTTTCATATCGTGCGTAATAGTATTATTATTATTATCATCATCATCGTCGTCATCATTATTTTTATGGAGTGTCAATAAATTTTTTTTTTTTTTATGGAATCAATATTTCTTCAATAAATTATTATTATTATTATATATACAATAATACAAAAAGAAAAATGGCGTCGTCGATGAGATTGCGAAATAATAATAATTTTTTTTTCTTTTTTTTTATACGGAGTCGTTTTCCATTATTATTATTATTATCATTATTATTATTATTATCATCATTATTATTATCATCATTATTATCATTATTATTATTAGGAAAATGATTCATCGCCTGTTGTCGAATAAATGGCGAACCTGTAACGAATCTTTTTCGTTTCGTTTACTCCTTTTATCCTCCTATCAGTAAAATTTTTTTTTTTTTTTGTCTACTTCCACGTTTGTTATATGATTTTTTTTTAAGCTGGAGAAGAAATGCGATTTTTGTTCTTGTCTGTTTCCCCGTTATATGATTTTTTTTTAAGCTGGAGAAGAAATACGATTTTTGTTCTTGTCTGTTTCCCCGTTATATGATTTTTTTTTAAGCTGGAGAAGAAATACGATTTTTTTTTTTGTCTGTTTCCACGTTCGTCGTAAGATTTTTTTTCTGCTTGAGAAGAAATGCGATTTTTTTTTTTTTTTAAATGAAATTAATAATAATAATAATAATAATGATGATGATGATGATGATGATGATGATGATGATGATAATATTTTTTTTTGAAAATTTTTATCCGAAACGTGTATTTCATTAAATATTACACGACGGCGGCCATTTTAAAAAATTTTTTAAATTATTAATAACGTATTTTAAAATATTATTATTATTTTCCCTCTCTTCTTCTTTTTTTTTCTAGAAAAAAGAAAAATGGCGGACGATGTAAAAGAAAAAAAAATTCATTTTATTTTGATATATTTATAACATTCTTCGTTTTTCGTATCGTTCGAAAGGAAACGATTATAAATCATATTTCCGGTATTCGATACGTTAAAATCCGCCATTTTTCTTTTAAAAATTATTATTATTATTATCATCACTAATTTCCCCGGTGAAATTAATTAATTTTTTTTTTGTAATTAATCGGTTTTCGATTTTTAACCCTGTTCACCCTCCCTTTCCTCTTTTCTCTCTTCTCCTCCCACTTCCCCTTCCCTCCATCCACCACCTCTCAAACCCACATTTTTTTTTTCCTTTGACCGTAAAATACTCATTATTATTATTATTATTACGAAAAAAAAAAAATTCACTCAAAGGAAAAATTAATTTAAAAAAAAAAAAAAAAAACTTTTCACTTTAATTTGATGGTATAATTTTTTTTCTTGTATTTACGGTCGAATGATTTTTATCACCGATAATGATAAGGTCGACGATGATAATACTAATAATAATAATAATAATAATAATCGTTCATCGTTCGTTTTTTTGCCGTAAAAAAAATTAATAATAATAATAATAATAATGAGTAAAATGTTATTCGCGTGCGTCGCGTGCGTTTCCATTTTTTTTTTTTTTTTCAATTCGAATCGCGTTTTAAAAAAAAAAATGGAATGATTAAAATAATTTTCCTTTGAAAACGTGGAACGTGTGTGACGTGTGTGTGTGCGTGTGCGTGTGCGTGTGCGTGGGTGTGCATTTCCGTTTATGTAAAATGTTTTTGATGTAAATTTTTTTTTTTAATGCTCTCTTTCTCTCTCGTTTATAGTCGGATTGGCTTTTTTGGCATCGAGAAGAGGATCAAGAGAATCCGTCGTGTCAGCAACGTCACAAATTTCAAACGAAGATATAGGACCGTTAAATTTTAATGGCACGACACGTGGAAGACAAAGGAGAACATCTAATTTTCTCGAATTGCCAGGTAATATTCAAAAAAAAAAAAAATTATTCCTCTGAAAAACGGGATAATAATAAATAATAATAATGATGATGATGATCGTGGGAATAGATCAGGAAAATTAAAAATGAAAAATTTTCTTTACTAAAATTTCTTTTTTCGAAACGCGGTACGAGAAAATTTATATGTCAAACGTTAATTGATGATAAACGTGGAAAAGAAAATCGTAAAACCGGAAACGAAATCGAAATACCGGAAACGATAATCGAAAAACCGGAAACGGTGAGTTCTAATCGAAAACGATCGAAGGATGAAGTAAAAAAAAAATTTTTTTATAATCAAATTATTAACGATTGAAAAATTTACGTAATCGATCAATCATTCAATCAATCAGTCAATCAAAACATGATTAATAATTTATTATCATCATCATCATCATCGTATTTTTTTAATTTATTAATAAAATTATTATTATTATTATTATTATTTTGAAAAATGAAATTTTTTTTTTTTCTTTGGAAATTTTTAACCTACGGGCTTTGGTTTCTCCCTTTGGAAAAATAATTTTCCAGTAAATCCACCAAGGGGGGGGGGGCGGCGGCGGCGGCGATTCTTTATAAAAACTTTTAATAGACGTAAAAGCTTTTATTACTTTTGGCGGGGCGGCCGCGGGGGGCGCGGCGGCGTCGGCGGCGGCGACAACGACGACGATCCACCACAAAGTGTAAAATAATTATTAACGCCTTAACGGAAGTTTAAATATTTAATGGATCCAAAAAAAAAAGAAAAAAAAATTCAACCCTTTCCTTATCATCATCATCATTTTCCTTTTTTTTTTTTAAAAGTTGGTCGACATGTTTAAATTTAATTAACCGTTAATAATAATAATAATAACGCACCAACACCACGACGCAATTTTTTTTTTTTATTTAAATTTTTTTTTTTTTTTTTTAAACAAACCGGAAATGAATTTCTATTCTCTCGTCTCATTTATTATTTATTCGTTTGTTTGTTTGTTTGTTTTTCGTACGCGAATAATAAACCATTTATTATTATTATTATTATCATCGTTAAAAGTTTTTAAAATATTTCTGGAAAATTTTTGCTTTTGAAAAACAAAACCCATATTTAATAATAATAATAATAATTGGCACGTGACACGTTTCCGGTTAAAAATATTTTTTTTTTAGGGTAATTTAGGTTGGTTATGACGTCACGGATTAAAATTAAATAAAATTAAAGGGAGCGAGGGAGCGATCGTGTGTGTGTGTGACGTCATTTACAAAAAATTTTAAAATTGTTCCAGTAACGATTATTTGCATTTCACGTTTAACTGGAAAAAATTTCCCTTTTTCCAGACCTTTTTCTAAATACACGACACCGGACACAAATTTATCAATTTTCATTAAGTTGACCGTTATTATTATTATTATTATTATTATCCCGTTATTAGATTTTTTTTAATTATGGAGAAAAAAAAAAGAGAGGAGGTTGTGGAATTTGGAAAATTTTTTTTTTTTTTCCAGTTTTTTTTTTTTTATTCCCGTAAAATTTTATTTATATCATCCATATAAATTATTAAAATGAGAGAGAGAGAAAGATTATTTATTTATTTGTCGTCTGCTTAAAGATCACGTGAATAATTAATTAGCGTAGTTCCTTTGAATAAAAAATATTTTAGGAAAAACAACCTTTTGAAAAAAAAAAAAAAAAAAAAAAAGAAAAATTCTGAAAATCTGATGAAGATGTGATGGGTAATGGAGAAAGAGAGAAAGGGAAAGAGAGAAAGAGAGTAAGAGAGAGAGAGTGTGAGAGAAAGAGATGATGATGATGAACTGGAAAAGATAAATGAAAATTTTTCTTTTCTTTTTTTGTTCCTTCCTTTTTTCCACGAAATTTTTCCTGGAATATTTATTACCGTCATCATCATCATCATCATCATCTGTTAGAATAAAAGTAAAAGGAAGAGAGAAAGAGATAGATAGATCGATAGAAAGAGAGAGAGAGAGAGATAAAAAAAAGAAAGAAATCAAACGTTAATCCTGGAGATTTTTATGGATTTTTTTTAAATAAATTCTCCAGATGTTTTTTTTGTTTTTTTCAAAACAGTTCGGAAACCTTAAAAAAATATAAATAATAATAATAATAATAATAATAATGTTTTTTGTTTTTTTTTTTTTTCACGACGAATGAAGGGGGCAATTCTCCAGAAATTCTCCAGGAATTTTTATTTTTAAAAAAAGGAAAAAAATGAAATAAAAACGTTTAAAAACTTTTATTTTATTAATAAAAAAAAAAAAAAAATGGCCGACTTAAGTTTCTGGAAAAGTTTTTTTTTCCAGCTCCAGCTCCAGCCCGAAACGATTATTATCATTATCATTATCATTATTATCGCGATGGAAATTTTTTTTTTTTTTTTAAATAATAATTTAAACCCTTCATTTTTCTCCTCATCACCGTCACCGTCGTCTTTATCATCATCATCATTATCTCAATCATTATTATCATTATCATTATTATTATTATTGAAAATTTCTTTCTCTCTCTCTCTCTCTCTTTCTCTGGAAAATTAAAATGTCATTTTTTTTAAAAAAAATTTTTAATTGAATAAAAGTTTTTTTTGAAAGTAAAAAAAAAAAAAAAAAATTCTGCAACCACGTCATTTCAATTTTTCCAGTTTTAAATCTTTTTTTTTTTTTTTTTAAAATTCCCGCCAAAATTCGTTTACGTCACGAAAAAAGATGATAATAATAATAATAAAATTTTTTTTATTTTCATTTCGACCCGTAATGGTAAGAAATAAACGATGAATTTTTTTTTTTTTTTATAATTTTCAGTACCGGATCATTTCCGGCCGAGAGTTTGTTCACTTCCGGAAAAACCATATAATCCACGTGCCGGAAACGAATTATATCGTTTAAGGACATTCAGTATAACAAAAGGAAACGTCATCAATTGTGGGGATTCGATAATAAATAGAAGATCGAGAAGTAATACGAGCGTCAATTCCGCCGGTACAAGGTAAAAAAAATTTTTTTATAATCCGCCATTTTTCTTTTTTCTTTTTTTTTTTACCGATGTCATAATTCAATTTTTTATTTCTACTTCCACGTTTTTAAAAACACGACAAAAAAATTTTCCGATTTTTTTATAAAATACGATCACGAAAAAAACAAAACCGTGTTAAGACTTTTTTTTTCTTTTTTATTCAAACCACCTGATTTTTTTTTATTTTTATCTAATTCCACGTAATGATTTCTCTCTCACTCTCACTCACTCATTTTCAATCTATCTCTCTCTCTCTCTTTATTCGTGATTTAAATTTTTAAATTTCTTTGAGAAAGTAAAAGAAGAAGAAAAAAAAAAGAAAAACTTTTCCAATTTCACTCTTTTTGTTTTTTTTTTTTTATTCCTCTCTCTTTCTTCTCCCTCTCTTTTTCCCTCTCCCTCTTAATTTTATTTTTATCTTCTGCTAAAAGGTTTTTCCTTTTTCTTTTTTTTATAAAAATTATTATTTTTTACTTTCAATTTTTTTTTTTTTTTGCAAAAATAAAATGAAATAAATAAAATTTTGAATTGAATAAACAAATAAGAAAGAAAAATATATTTATATATTCGATATATCGATTCGAACGTTTCGATATTACCGTGGAAAAAGTTTTTTAAATAATCGAGTTTTAATCGACTTCGATCTCGAAACCTTTGAAACTAAAATTAAAAAAAAAATTTTCCTTTTTTCTTTCTTAAAAGTTCGTTTAATTAAAAACCCTTGTCAAATAAAAACATGATGGGAAAAACCAAAAAAAAAAAAAAAAAATTGTTTGTGGTTGTTGTTGTTGTTTGATATCGTCTGGTTGTTTTTTCACTTACCTCCCGCCTCCCGCCCCATCCCACCCCCCACCATTTCAAAAAAAAAACTAAAATTATAAAGAAAAGGAAAAAAGAAAAATTCGTTCTTTTCCCGATTCCCACTTTACTTCGATTATTAATAAAAAAAAAATAAATTTGTCTAATGCCACGATAAATTCAAACGGTAATTTTTTTTTTGAAATTATATTCTACAAAGAAAAAATTTCTTTTCTTTTTCTTTTTTTTAATTTAAAAATAAATTTTAAGTGAAAAAATAAAAAAAAAAAGAAAAGGAAAAATTCAATTTTTTGTCGTGGCAGAAGTCAAAACAAATTTTAATCAAATCCTTTAATGGCAAGTAACAAAAAAAGAAAAGAAAAAAAACCGTAAAAAAGTAAAACGACGAGAGAAAAAGAAAGAAAGAAAAAAAACGAAAAGAAAAAAAATTTTATTCTTCTCTCTCTTCCTCTTCCTCTTTCTTCTCTCTCTTTCTTTCTTTATTCCACGCTTCCGGTTAAAATAAAATTTCCTTTGAAATATTACCTTTGTAATTTTTTTTTAAATGTCAAATCAATGATAATTTTTTTTTTTTTTTTTTTTTTATTGAGTTTCAACGTGTGAAACTGAATTTTTCAATAGAAAGAATAGTTTTTCAGTTTATTTCCGGTCGAACGATATATATATATAAATCGACCGGAAACTCAAATAAATAATAATAATAATATAAAAATTAAAAGTTAATTTTTTTTTTTTTACGCGTCGTAAAAACCAGAAGAAAAATTTTTTTCGACGTCTAAAAACGAGTAAGAAGAAAACAAAAAAAAAAACAAAAACAAAATGGCGGAACGAATCGATTTTTTTTTTTACGATCGATATAAAATATTATTATTATTATTATTATTATATTTATTCCCGAATGTTATATTATTCGTAAAAAAGAAAAAAAAAACATCCTGTGGGTGTATAAAAAAAATTAAAATTTTTAATGGCGGAAAAAAGAGAATCTTTAACGGATTTTTAAATTTACGCGCCAAAATCTATTTCCCCCTCCCCCCCACGAAAAATAAAAAAATTTCAATTTTATTCCCATTTCCGGAAAATTTATTTTAATGCCCGTGTAAATAAAAAAAAAGTGAAAATTCGACGAAAGAGTAATAAAAAGGTAAAAAAAAAAAATTTACGGGACGCCATTTTTGTATCATAACAAAATGACGTCATAAAAACCGTTATAATATTTTTAAATATTGAAACCTGGGGGGAAAAAAAAAAATTTTCTTTTTTCTTCTTTTTTTCTGAGATTTAATTTAAATTCAAAGGATTCAATTCGAAGGATGGATTAAAAAGGTTTTCGTGCGTACGTGCGTGTACGCATGCGCGTTTCGGCGAATTTAAAAAAAAAAAAAGATGGCGGAAAATCGAGGGAAAATTTTTTTAATTTTTTGCATTCAAGCCGAATTTATAAAAGGTCAATAAAAAACCGGGGAAACTTTTAAGGGAGGGAAATGGAAAGAAAAAAAAGGAAAAATTAATAAAATGATAATGATGATGATGATGATGATAATGATGATAAAATTTTTGTTTTTCTTTTAGATCCGCAGTGAATTCAGCGGGTGAAAGGAGTCCTTTCGAAGGTTCATGTTGCGGTTCGAGTTACAATAACATATCAACAAGCGAAGCAGACGACGATGACGTCACAGAATATAGAATCGTGCTTTTAGGTGATTCAGGGGTTGGAAAAACGGCTCTCGTTAATCAATTTATGACGTCAGAGTATATGAACACATACGATGCGTCATTAGGTGAGTTTATCCTGTTTTTTTTTTTTAAATTCAATTTTACAACAAGAACGCGTTTTAAAAAAAAGGAAAATCTCAAAGGAATATTTTCATTAATTATTATTATTATTTTTTTTTAAAACTTATTGACTTTTTATTCACGAGAGAAAAGGAAAAAAAGGAAAAAAAGGAAAAAAAAGGAAAAAAAAAACCAAAAATTAAAAAAAAATTTTTTTTTTTTTTCAATAAGTTCGAATTCTCAAAGGAAATAAAAAAAAAAAATTATTTTTCCTTTTTTTCCTTTTTTTTTTCATCTCGTTTTTCTAGCAGACGAATGAGAAAAAAAAATTATATTATTTATTTAATCAAAGGCGAAAAAGGAAAAATAAATATTACGCTCAATTTATTATTTCTTCTTTCAATTAACTCGCGACCTTTTAATATCAAACCCAAAATTTTATAATGAAATAGAAAAGAGAGAGAAGAGAGAGAGAGAGAGAGAGAAAGGGAGAATACATGACGATGAAAAAATGGAAAAAGAGAGTAAGAGAAAATAAATATAATAAAAAAGATATGGAGAAAGAGCAAGAGAAAATGAGAGAAAAAACATGGCGATGATAAAGTGGAAGGAAAAGAAGGAAAGAGAAAATAAATATAATGAGAGAGAGAGAGAGAGAGATAGAGAAGAGGCTGAAACCTTTATGGTGACAATAATGAAGAAAGTGACGACGATTAGAGAAGAAAGAATGAGAAAGAGAGAGAGAGAGAAGAAAAGAGAAAAAGAGAGAAACATCTAGAAAGGAAAAAACATGACGATGAGAAAGTTCCAAAGTTAAAAAAAAAAAAAAAATGGGAGAAAGAGGGAGAGTAATGATAGTGCAAAACACAAAGAGGGAGAGAAAGAGAAAAATAAGAGGAAAGAGAGAGAGAGAGGAAGGGAGAAAACAACATGATGACAAAATGGTAGAAGAAGATGGAAAGAGAAAATAAATATAATGAAAGATGGAGAGAGAGAGAAAGATAAAAAGAATACAAGAATGCAGAATAACAGAAAGAAAAGAGAGAGAAGAGGAAAAAATAAGAGAGAGAGAGAGAGAGGGAAAATAAAATTTGTGTAAACAAGAAAATTTTTTTTTTTTTAAAATTAATTTTTTGTTTACCGTTTTTTCATCCCTCCCTCCCCCCAAATCGATTAGTTTTAATAATTACGCGCGGATAAATTTACAAAAACAAAAAAAGCCATACATCCGATACGAAA